AACCAAATTTTTCGATTTCGAAATAATTGCATAAATCTACATCAGAAAAAATATTAATTAATATAAAACGTTCGAACTTTGGGTATTATTCATACTGGCCTATTAAATCGATTTAAAGAGAAATAGTCTAATCAAATTTGGTTCTGAATTTCCTGGAAACCATTGAAATATTCAGACCCCTTAAAATTAATTCCATTTTTGATTATTTTTAATTATATATTTGTATTTCACTTTAAAAATTAAAGGTATTGGTGAAAATATTAGGTTTTTTCTTAAACATAGTTTATCACATTATGTAACTTACATTATATCTAATTAACAGCAACATAATGAAATTGTTATAAGTAGCGCAGTTCAATCATATTAGTTATTTTGCGTCCATAAAATTGCCAAAAATATATTGCATATTATATATAAATCTGGTGTGTTTTCAAAGTATTTATTTCAAAGAGGTTTTTTTCAATTTTTCAAAAACTAATAGAGATATTTATACCGAATTTTGCAATTCCATTAAAAATTTTAACCACACCATTAAAAATTTTTTAATGGTGTGGCTGCGCCATAAGACTCAAAAGCTAATTTTAAATATTTTAAAATAATAATAAATATAAATATTTAAATATTTTAAAATAAATATAGGTCAGACGTATCCCAGATGTTTCTATAGAATGGTTTCACAGGTTCGAGTAATTCCTATACAACAATCAAAGGTGCAGGGTATAATTCAATCGGTTTATATTGACTGAAACGTTTTTACTTGTTAATTAAGATATTTTGTACCAAAAGGTTTTAAGCCATTTCATACTATTTTTACCGCATTAAATAATTATAAATAATTTTCAAATATTAAACCACAAAATATTTATTGTTTTATTACGATTGATTAATTTTTGGTTAAAAATTACTATTTAAAAATATTACTAATATCACAAATAATTTAAAATTTTTCATATTAATTGTGTACGGGAATTAATAGCACTCCTTCATTCTATTTTGTTTATAATTTGATTTATATAATAATTCATTTCGCTAATTTTTTCAATTTAAAAATTACATATATGTAACGTATATGTATACTAAATTATGTGTAGTAAAATAAATAAATAAAAAAATTAATATTATGTATAGCTATATGTATTATAAAAAATGTACGTCAAATTTTACACTTTATTATGCGATTTAAATTTAATTATACTATCTTACTACCGGTATATGTGTACAATTAAATTTCTAAGTGTTGAATAAGGTCGAATACATTAATTTATTCATGTTTGATTATTTACTGTCGTATATTATGAATATTTAATATATTAATTTTAAATGTATTTATTTACTTACTCTGTTACATTCATTCATCAATATTATTGTTATAATCGTATAAGTGAAAATAAATAATTAATTATGAATTATTTTTAGTACAATTATTTGAATACAATTGAAAACTTATTCTATATATGCAATTTTTATTTATAATGGTATTATGAATTTACTATAGAAATAGAAATTAGAAATTATAATTGATGAAAATAATGAATTTTACGTTGAAATATAGGAAAGAATTTAATAATGTTATAATGAGTTTTCAATTACATTTTTTTTATTCTTATTAATTTGTTGAATCATCCCATAAGTTTCTTAAGCATTCTATAATGAAATCAAAGATTTTACAATTTTAATTGCTACTGAAGAATTTATAAAATTATTGAGTATTAAATAGCATTTCTTTTTCTTCCGACCCAACATTTTCGAATTTTATATGATTTTCATTCCGTAGTGATTGTGAACCCGAATATTTCAAACCCTGTTTATATATAATATTAAAAATTTTTGAAAATCCATAATACTTAGCTTAGTACTGAATATAAAAATATAATTAATGTTTCAGAAATAATAGGCTTTATAACATCACTTTCAAAGTTTTATCGAAAAATTCGTGAGCCAAAATTTATTTGCAATAGGAATAAGGCAAAAAAAATTTGTTTAAACAAAAAATTCCGGTAAATTGAAGTTAATAGATATTTTTTTATTAATTCCTCCTGAATATTTAATATTAATCAAAGAAATTTTCGAAATATATTGAGGTTCAAACATAGTATAAATATATAGAATAAATATTATTTCTATATGTTCATTTTCAAAATGTAACCTATATATAAACAATTTTAGTGTAAAACGTGAAAAAATAGAGTTGACCGCGCCAACTCTGTGATACTGATGCGAATTAATAATTTTAAATATTATGTGTTGATTGCCTCGATTTTCCATAAGTATTTCTTGTTTTTTATTCGTTTATGCAAAAAATTCAGTACTTTAATTTCAATAGTTTCCATAATATATGAGACTTTTGAAGTTGTATGGCAGCTACCAGAACAAGTCAAGAAAGTTTAACGATTTTTATCACACATATTGAAATTTCGATATTTAGTTTCAATAACTTCTGAGATATAGCCAAATAACTTTTAAATTTGCAGGGCAGCTACCTGAATCACTACCTTCATAACATCCAATTCTGGATTCTGAAGTTTACTATAATAAATCATTTGTGAAAATTTGACGAGCTTAGCTCAATTAGTTTTTGAGTTATCGCTGGAACAGATAGGCAGGCATTGTTAAATCGACTCGGTATTCGACGCTAACTAAAAATATACAGGTATACTATATCTCAGACTATTATTTGTTAGTGTTGCAAACCGTAAGGCAAATTTATTATATTCTTCGAACATATATTCGTACATGTATGTATCATTTATACATTTATACCAATTTCTATTAAAATCCAGTTCTAGAGCTGTTTGTATCTTTAAACAAAAATTTAATATTATAAGCAACATAATTAACAGTTAAATAAATTAATCGTCTTTAAAAAATTTTCAGTAAACAAATTTCAAGTTTTTTTAAGTATACCATGCACGTATACGTAATAAATCATTGAATATCCATTTAAAAATACTGAACATGTTCAATAACAAGTAATTTTTTATTATGAATTTTTGTATGTTGTATAAATGCATTTGTGCGAATGAACTTACAGATCATATACAATGTTATTAAACACATAACATTAACTACTTTTTTTTTTAGCTATCACCAAATAAATATAAAGTAAATTTTGGTTTGCTTATTTATATATGGAAACTGTAAAAACAATTTTTCTTATATTCAAAAACTTAAATTGTAGCACAGGAATTGCAATAAATCAAAGTTGGAATTATATTGAATTTTTAATTAAACGTTAAATGAAAAAATTGCTAATGTAAAATATGATTGTATGCAATATACATTTGATTATTTAAAAGTATATCAAAATATTAATTCAAAGTTTTGAACTCTTTTTCATTTTCTATTCCATTTCATTGGTCGTGCACTTAGCATATTTGTATTTCATCAGTATATCAGTTTTTGTAATGCAGAAACGTTTTAAGAAAACACTTAATCTTTTTACACTAAGCCGACTTTGCACTTAACATATTTGCACCACACCGATCTTGGAAACTAATACACGTACAGCACTGAAGCTTATACCACAGAATTGGGGCCTTTCGAAATTAGTAATATTTGTGTAATATAATAGATAATTTTATGTAAATTATAATTCAAAGTATTTGTAGTCCAAATTTTATGTAAAGGATAAACAAGGATGTATTATGTGGTTTATATTATCAAGCATGTATTATCTGTTATAATTAGTAAATTATAACAGATAATAACGAATATAATTAAATTATTCTATATAATTATATTAAGAGTTTTTTATGCTAAATTTTACTAGCTATAGCAATATAGAAAAAATATTTTAAAGTATTTTTTATGCTAAGAAGATGAAACTGAGCGAGCATATTTAACATTAAATAAGAGTGTCAGCATAGTGCATTGCAGGACATGAAAAGTTTTTCAATTACGTCTTCGATATTTCACATTTAACAACACAAATTAATATGGAATTGGTTAATATAGTAATATTAAATCTTTAATATAGAGGGTGTTATACACAATCTTATAACTTAATTTTAAAGTGTTATACATTTTCATAATCAAATTTAATAATATCTAAAAAAAAAAACTTTTGAATCAAATTCTAAAATTAAATTTTTCCTTAAGATTTAAAAAATGTGTCAAATTCTATACTATCGGAGTTACGAAAAACAAAATAAGCAGTAAGGTTAAAATATTTTCAAATTAGAAGAAAATATCAGTCAAGGTTTGGTCCATTACCTCAAAATGGCAACACTGGCGACAGCATAAAAAAAATTTTCATCTTTTTACAAAAAAAAAATAAAAAAAATATTCAATGAGCATTTTTTAATTTTCTAAATTTAAATAAAGCATGAATACCTACAATACTAAGCATTGCTTTGTATATTTGAGCTTCTAAACTTTTAATTTTACTTTTCTTTTCAATCGCGTTTTATTTATTATTATTAATTTTTTTTTTTGTACATATATTCAAGACAATTTCTGTTTTTTTTTTCTCTATTTAGAAAATTATTCTTAAAATGTAAAAGCGGTGAGAATATACTAAATTTAGTTTTAGTAGCTGTGTACACAAATATGAGATCGGATTACAATATAATTTCTTTTTGAAAAATTTTTTTAGTTTAAATCCGACTTTTGTATTGCTCAGATGTTTAAATATAATATTATTGAAAAAAAAAACCATAAATAAATACATAATAAAAAAATATATGTATAAGAATAATTAACAATTTATAGAGAGTAAATATTTAATAAAATTTAATTATAATAGTAATTAAAAATATTTTAAGCAGTTGTGCGTGTTTTAAAACAAAGAAAAATATTTTAAATTAAAAATTTTCTATTTTTGTTTTTTTTTTTAAATATCTAAGTTAAATTTTTTACTTATAATATTTTTATGTGATTATTAAGAAGAGTGGTGTTTTTCACCCTGTGTTTTTTTAATTCTAATATGAATAAATTTATAAATAAATAAAATTTATATAATTAAATATATTTCATTAATTATGATAAAAAAAATCTTTTATTAATAAACATTTTACATAACATTTATTAAAAAAAAAAAAAATTAATTTTACAATTTAAAATTTAAAATAAAACAAAAAGGAAACAATTAAAACAATATTAATTATATCTAAAAGCATAAATATGGAGAAAGTTATTTAAGGTAAAATATAAAATTAATTTTTATTTTATCATTTTATATTTGATAATTCAAGTGATATTTACTTTTACATAACATAAGAAATTAAATATTGAGAATATAATTTTTGATTTTTATTATAATAATAATAATTTTAATAATAATATTAATAACAATATACTATAATAATTATTTCATTATAATAATATAATTAAATATTGTATAACATTATCAAAATGCGGTTTAAATAATGCAACCGAAACGTTATCAAATTTCAAATAAAATATTGATAGTATTATAAATATTGTATATTTATTTATATTCGCTCTAATATAATTTATAATTTTAAAAATATAATCGTATAATGAATTGCCAATTATAATGAAATGAGAAATAAGAAATTTTTATGAAAATCATTGAAATTAAAAATAAAGTTAAATTGTGATCTAAAAAATTACGATATTAAACTCGATTACCATAGATTCAAAATTCGATAAATAATTCATTTTTGAACAATTTTAGTTGTGAATGAAAATTAATAATGGAATATTACAAATTTCAATCCAGTTAGAATAGATCAAAAAATTTCTATACTCGTATTAATAAAACAAAATAAAAAAAAGTTTTATATAAGTAAATTGGTAAATAATTGGATCTATTCTGAATATCGAATAATACTTAGTGATAGTGATATTTATCGTAAAATTTCACGCAAAAACACTTTATTATTAGACACGAATCATTTGTATGAATTCGTTACAATAATAATATCGAAATTTTTACGATAATGATCACTATCACTAAGTAATTCGATACTCAGAATAAGAGCTAAATATTTTAAAAATTTCGATATTACTATACTTTACAATAGCATAATTTCCAGAAAAATTTCAAATTTTAGGGGTATCGTATTATTAGGACAATAGTGAATATTTGTGCACTGAAAAATTGAAATTTTATTTGAAGTGCATTTTAAATTTCAATGATAGTCTATATACATTTTGAAAATCTGTGATATACTGAAAAATATCTGTGATATACTGATATACTTCTTATATTCTTTCAAAATTATTAAAATATTAAGAAAAAACTAATTGATATACATAAGATATTCTACAAGAATTTACTGATAGTTTTAAATAAAGTTTTTTTTTCTTTTAAGAAATTTTCTCATGGTTTCTAATTACAGCTCAAATTCATTTTTATTGATTTTATATGATAACAAGATATACAATAAGTAATCTGATATCATAATAATTAATCAATAAAATATTAGTGGAAAATTTTTGAAATATATAAGATGACAATAAGAATGACATATTACAATATTTACTATTTTACAATGTATAATTTTACGAACTATAAAAAATATCTAAAAAGCAATTGTTTTACATTTAAAGTGTCTTTATTTATTTTATTTCTTTTTACATAGTTTTTAAGTGCGTTTATTTAATTGTTATATCACTTGTATAATTTTCATTATACTATATGGTCCTTATATTTGTAGTAGTTTTTATTTGTTAATAAATTTTTTTTTTTTTGGTTTAAAAACACTAGTTTTCATTTCAAACGAACAGTTTTACGAGAAAATGGTGACTTTAAAGTAATAATATAAAAAAAGGTATAATAATTAATTAAATTAAATTTTAAATTGTAATTGTAATACAAAAAGGATATTTTAAATACGATAAAATTTACTGCTATAATTAAATTTATTCTTTAAATTTTTAAAATAAGTGAAATTTTAAACAAAATGAGCTCTTAAAGACTATGAAGTTTCAAAAATTTATTTACTCATTTATTATTAATAAAATATTTAATTATTTATAAATTTATTACAATTTATAAATAAAATATAGTTGAATTCGGATTATTACTTAAATTTTTAACAAGTGGTTAACATTTATATCTTAAATTTTATATGTTAATATAATAATGTTCGCACTACATTGAGTGCAATTAATTTTGTGAGAATATTTATCGAAAAAAAAGTGTTGAAGGAGTTGCAAATTAAATTAGAAACGGGATAAATATGATGCTTCTGTATAGACTAATTAAACATTAATTATTTAGTTTAACTGTATTATAGGAAATTTAAGAAATTGTAAAAATTTTTCATTGAATTTCATAAATTTCGTGAAGATTTTCAATTAAATTTTCGTGAAAAGCGAAGAAAATTTTACTACTTATTTTTTCTATGTAATATCTTAAATAGTTTGATTGTTGATTTTGCCGAAAAATTTATTATTGTTATATTAATAATATGATTTTTGTATATTGTTTAAAAATTATTACATACATCTCGAATTACCTCAGTAAATTTTAAATTTTGCTAATTAAGTCATTTTTGTACCAAAAATATTTATAATTGATCCATTATATTGACTTGAGTCTTGAGCCATTGCTTAATAAAAGCAATTTTTAAAAATATTCATACTTGAACAAATTTTTCTATAGAAAAATGTTGTCTAGAATATTGTTCTTTTATAATGTTATAGAAAATTTGATTTAGGAAATTATAAATATAGTTCAAAGAAATTCTTCGTATAACATGAATTTGATATTATTAATTATTTTTATAGTAGTACCCTTAATTTTTTCTAAATTACATATAATTTAATCGTAACCCGGAAATATAAAGATCCGGGTCCTTTATGTTATAATTTCGTATCTGTATACAAATTAAAACTTCGACTAAAAATTAAAATAATTGTTTTAAAATTTTGATAATAAAAATTTTTCGGAAAATAGGTCAAAATTTATTATGATTAAATAAATAGGAAGTGTGTCGATTCAAAATTATGTATTTGTGTTTAATTTATAAAATGTTGCCATTTTTTCTATAATTTTTGTTCATAATATTATTTAAATACAATTTAAAAACGGGAAAAACTATATAATTATAATTTTTTTATAATTGTAGTACAAAAATACTTAATCTCGTAATATTTAATATTATAAAACATAATTTTTAGAGAAAACGAAAATTCATGAAAATTCACTTTAATAAGAATCTGGCGAAATTTATTTTTTATTCTGGTAATTAAAGAATTTCCCGTTCCCGTAGTCACGTTAGAGTTATAGTCTTACATATTTTGTACTTTTCCTTCAGTTGTACTTTTGTACTTTTTTCGAACAACACAATCCGTTTTATCCTCGAAATTAATAATATGCTAAGTGTTTAAAAATTACAAAATAAATATTTTAAGATCATTACTATAGTACAAACAGCTATAACGCATCATTGCATCATTTTCATTAAAGAATTTAAATTTTAAACATAAAATAATAATAATAATTAAAATCATTATTAAAGTAAAATAAAGAAAATAATTATAATGATTATTCCAATCTTACAATTATTTTTTAAATTCTCATCATTAAATATTATAGAAAATTTTCAAAAATTATGGAAAAAATTACATGATTTGAAATATTTTTAGGGTTGCGTAAAAATTAATTAAGAATGAAATGCAAGTTGTTTTATTAAGTTATATGGTTAATAAACAATCAATATTTCTGAAAATAGTTTTTGCTATTACTGTATAATTTAAAGATGGAATTAGTATCTTAAAATTTTTCCACTTCTATATTTAAATCCTTATAATTGAAATTTTGATATGGGATGAAATTAATTTACCAAACCTATATCAAATAAGCGGGATATTCAAATTGCAAGAATATCGCAATTTGTACTACATAAATCACTACTGTGAAATTATACTGCAATTTAGTGCGATTAAAATTCGAATGTCGGAATTATATAAATTAACACACGCCCCTGATCAACATAAGAACAATAATGTAATCAATAACAGTAATAACGATAGCACCAGTTCGGGTGCCAGTTATTATCTTATTAGTATTATATTACTATACAAAAATTTATTTCTAATTAATTTGGTCCTCTGGTGTTCAATAATTCAATTTTTGGGAGTTATAATTAAATGATTTTGTTGAAATTTTTTTTTTTCATTAATATTCGATTTATCTATTACATCTGGTTAAAAAATATATTTAAAAAATCTTTCACGATAAAAGCGTTCAATTCTCATTGGAAATTTTTAAGTTAATATAACAATTAGTGTAGAATATTTTGTGCAAAATTTTTAGAGCAATAAACTATGTGTTTATGAAGATTTTTATTCTAACAATATTAAAATGACTGTCTACGGAAAGTACCTCTAATAATACATGTATTTCACATGAAAACTAATCTCAGTTTGTTATTTAAGATCGCATACTAACTACACATTTCACTCATACCGGTAATTAATATTCTTGATATATGATCTCATACCTATATATTATAGTATTAAAACAAATTATATTTTGTATGATTGACGTTACAACAAAATAATTATTCGTATATATCGTACTTGTCCGCTTCACTTTATGAAATAAAATCGTAATATGAAAAAAAAAAAAAATAAATTTAAATTTTTACTGAAAGAGTCATTAAATTTGTGTAGAAAATTTTCAGGAGGAAAATTGAAAGAATAAACTCTTCGTTGCCCAAATTCAAATCTATTGCGTTAACTGAAAATTGCCATCAGTTTGTAGAAAATTATTGTTATACTGTTTGATTGATTAATTGCATGCGATCATACAGCTGCATATGTACGCACTTGAATATATGTAGATCTATGTATACAAATAAGCAATCAAACAGTTGTAAATCTAAAAATTGCTTGTCTATAAGAGCCTTTATTAGAGATCACTTTTTAAAATGAACTTTAATAGTATTTAGTAAGAATTTAATATAAATTTTTACTCTTTTTTAAAACAGAAAAAAAAAAAAACAAAAAATTTAAAAAAAAATTTTAACTATTCCGTGTCGTTAATTTTAATAGACTATGTATATAAATTTTTTTCTTAAGAGCGGAAGAAAATATTTTCTATGCCTCATACATATGAACAAAAACATTATTTAAAATTATTAAATTAACTAAATTAAAGATTTTTCAAGGAAAACACAAAATTAAGGCAAAATTAAGAGAAATTAAATTTAATCAAATTAAGGA